TGTGTGTGTGTGTGTGTTATTATATAACCCTTTACATTTATACAACCAATACGACTCAATCTCAATCGTCCATTTAATTTGATGAATATGTGATTTCATATAAGTTTGTTTTCTAATATAAAGTATTGATTATAATTAATGAACTCTATTCATCTTCTATAAATATTCGAATCATAATAAATAAACTCTCATAATTTCCATAAATATATCAATTTATTGGGTTGCATTGGTTGTACAAATACGATGAGTTGTATTTGAAACTCTCTCTCTCTCTCTCACTATATATATATATATATATATATATATATATATGCTAGTGATGTACCTGCGTGATGCAAAACGGGTGAATCACAATTCTGAAATATTATTTTAGCTTTGAATCATGAGTTTTTGTTGTTATTTTACAAGTCAACTAATATATAAAGTTGAAGGTTAATATGGTGTATTAGTAAGATCGATTGGAAAAGTAGTTGCATACATGTTAAGTTTCTAAATCCATRTAAATTTGAAGGATTGGGGTGGGGTACATGCATGATTTGAAACCCCTYCTGATATTGTTGCTTCAATTTTCACTTTACTTCAAGAGAAAGAAGAATTTTGAATTTGAATTTGAGTTCAAAATAATAAACAAACAAAATGTCAAACAATTTTAGGAAGACCAAACATACCATATTCATGTAAATATGTCTTACTAATTTATGTTTTAAGACTTGTAATTAAGACTTTTGGACTAAATACATATTAATGATATATATTTTGTGGAGATGCTTTATTCCATACCTTATCTTTATTCCAACGCAATATCTTGAACTGATGATTTCCTCCTTGCAACTTGTTCGCTAATATCTTGAACCATGGATGTGAGGTTAAGATAAGACGAACCCCCTTCCTCCATTGCTCTCTTCGACATTTCCCCAAGCGATTCAGCTCTCTTTCTTCTTGCTTTTCCTTCCTCGTCTGTCTCCATTAAGCCCTCCAATGCCGTCTTCACCTCTTCCTTCTTCACCAACACTCCCAACAGTTCCTCCTGTCCAACACGAACAGGAACCTTAATGCCAATTCCCACTCCAATTTTCAGAACATCCACGATGAATCTCTCGTTCATAAACTGATCSGCGAAATGCGGCCATGTAACCATCGGGACTCCGGTCGAAATCCCTTCGAGAGTCGAGTTCCATCCGCAATGCGTCAAAAAACCTCCGATGGTCGGGTGTGACAGAATCAAAACTTGTGGTGCCCAACCCCGGACAATTAAACCCCTATCTTTCACCCGTTCTTCGTATCCTTCTTCCGAGAACCATCTCTCGAGTTCCTCGGTCGTGTGYCTTACGCACCAAATGAATGGCATGTTGGATGACTCCAATCCCAACCCTAGTTCGATATCTTGTTCGGTACAAGCTCGTGTTAGACTTCCCAAGCAAACATAGACCACGGAACCCGGCTCCCTCGAATCTAGCCATTTCAAGCAATCATGTTCATTGAATTCGGCCTTGCTTCCTCTCTCGGATTTATCTWCGGAACTTTTGTTGCATAACGAAACCGGACCGACACACCATACCTTTTTATCTTTCGCTTTCGCAAGTTGTTCAACGTACTYGGCCTCCAACTCATGGAAACTATTAACCACAATCCCATCTGCATCATTCTCCGCTTCTCGCAATCCTTCAAACACACCTGCTGTCGCCTTCTCTAGCGATCTTTCCCAAGCGGAAGCTTGCGCTTTTGTAAGTTCTATCCGGTCAGACAGACCGGGTAGAACAAGGCAKTCCGAGTCACGGACTACTTCATCTAGTATATTAGWATTCATCACAATGTGCATACACATACACGTGAAGCATCCAGGTCCATGGAAAATAAGCCTCGGAATATTGAACTTCTGAGCAAGATCTCTAGTCCAAGGAAATAGATTGTCGGAGATGATGCAACTTGGCGCMGGAGTTAGTCGCCGGAGGATGTTTTCCGATGGTTCCTTTAACATAGCTGCCGCTGCGAATAATTTCATAAAGAGGGCTTCTGATGTAAGCATGTCGAAACACTCGAACCCTTCCGGCAAACCGACTTCTGTTAAYGGGAGTTGGAGCTCAAGTAGTTGGATCTTGAGGTTTTCGTCTTTGATAGCTCGAGAAATGGTGGGTTTGAACCGGTTGGCGTTAACCGGAGTGGTGATTATGGTGACGGTATCCCCGCGGTGTGCTAGTAATCGGGCGATGTCGACCATGGGTATCATATGACCTTGAGCCATTAGAGGGAACAACACAAAGTGAAGAGAAGTCATTAATGGCGGCTGGTTTTGCAGTGAAACTATGGCGAGGAGGGATGTGGAGTTTATGGGAAGCAATCTACAACAATTGATTTCTACGTGAATGCCATCCATCCAATGAACCTCCTGCTATCTGCAATTTACACCTCCCAATTTTTATTAATATGACATTTTTTATGGAAAAAATATAAATAATGATATTATTAGTAATATTATACATTATATTATCTATACTATCTTATAAAATAGATTTGATAAAAGTCTTAAAAACAATTTTAAATACATAAAATACTATTTATTTATGTATAAAATTTTAAAAGGTTTAAAAACAATTAATAAAGCATATTCTACTGATTTTTATGCACAAATAAGAAAGAGAGTAATTAATAATATTGTTTCTATTTATTATTTTGAATTACTTTACATCCTTCAAAATTTGCAGGATTCTAGAATTTAAGTTCCGTGTAAAGACCAAAGAATCTCATAGCAAGGACTTTTCAAAAGCTTGAAATTTCTAAGAACACCAAAAACCAAATCAAGAATCATGATTTTTCTCTATATAAATCCACAATATATCAATCTAAACCATTCCCATATCAAATTCCAGTTCATAATTCGTGAACCCACAATCTCCGCCGGAATTCAGCAATGGCATCGGAACCCATCTCTCGGCTTCACTTTCTCTTGATTCCCTTATTAGCCCCTGGCCACACCATCCCCATGATCGACATGGCCAAACTGCTCGTCCAACGGCCGAATGTGGTGGTGACCATCGTCACCACACCCCTCAATGCCATTCGATATGGTCCTAACCTCCAACAACACATCAACTCCGGACTCCCGGTCCGTTTTCTAGAACTCCCGTTTCCGGCAGCCGAGGCTGGACTACCGGAGGGATGCGAAAGTGCAGATGCTCTACCGGGTCTTCATTTACTCCCAAACTTTTCAGTTGCAATTGGTATGTTGCAAGAAAGACTTGAACAACGGTTCGAATCGCTAGACCCACGACCGAGCTGTATTATATCTGATAGATACATGCTCTGGACTGCTGATACAGCGACTAAGTATGAGATACCAAGGATAATCTTTGATGGAATGAGTTGTTTTAAGCAGTTGTGTACTCATCATTTGTATGCATCCAAGGTGCTTGATGGTTTGCCTGACTCAGAACCTTTTGTTCTCCCTGGATTGCCACACCAGATTGAGATAACCAAAGTGCAGCTGCCACAAGAGTTCAATCCTGTTGATTTAGCCACAAGGGAGCAACTCGAACGAGCGAGGGAACCCGAGTTGAGAGCTTATGGGTTGGTGATCAATAGTTTTGAGGAGTTGGAGCAAGAATATGTTAACGAGCTTAAGAAGTTGAAAAATGGTAGAGTTTGGTGTTTAGGACCTTCGTCATTGATCAATAATAACGATTTCGGAAAAGTGATAAGAGGAAATGGCACCTCAATCAATGAGCAGCGTATCTTGAACTGGCTTGATTCCAAAGAATCTGGATCCGTAATCTATGTCTGTTTCGGTAGCAGTAGTCAGGTCATCCCTCCTCAACTGGTTGAGCTCGGATTAGGCCTAGAAGCATCTAACCACCCATTCATATGGGTGATTCGAGCAGGCGATAGAGCTAAGGAGATCGAGGAATGGATAATAGAAACTGGGTTCGAAGAACGAATGAAAGATAGAGGACTTCTGATCAGAGATTGGGCTCCACAACTCCTAATTTTATCACACCCTTCGACCGGAGGGTTCTTGACTCACTGTGGTTGGAACTCGATCCTCGAAGGAGTTTGTGCCGGTGTGCCACTGATTACGTGGCCGCAGTTTGCTGACCAGTTCTTGAACGAGAAACAAGCAATCCAAGTGTTGGGAATTGGCATGGCCGTTGGGGCTCAACAAGTTGTGCATTGGGGTATCGAAGACAAATTCGGGGTTATGGTGAAAAGCGAGCAGGTTTCGAATGCTATACGCAAAATGATGGATATCGGAACTGAAGGAAACGAGAGAAGAAAGAAAGCGAAACTACTTGCGAAGGTAGCGAACAAAGCAATAGAGGAGGGAGGGTCATCTTACAAGAACTTGACACTACTGATACAAGATATAATGGAACTTGCGAAAGCCAAGAGCCATTGAGTTGAAGCCAACATTGCTCGTGCACCTCTCGGCCATGCAAAAACCCGCGATATACACGATATATGAACCCCGTTAGGGGCGCTGCCCCTAGCACCCCGAAAGGGGTATAGCCCCCTGACTCCTGCTTCATGACGATCTAAAGTGATAGATGTAACATTTGTAGTGTGCATCCTGCATCTCCTAACTCATATATGTTTCTCTCATCGCTTTAATCTATCTCATGTAAATCACAATTACACCAAATACTCGATGACGCTAAAATCACAACATTCTATATTTCGGTTTGTAATACAACTATCATTATTAATACATTCTATATTTCTATTACTCTTTGGGATTAATCGGAGCTCCAACACAATGTTTGACTTAAATAGTTCAGTTAACTGCATAAACATAACTTATTTCATTCAGTTAGTTCTTTTTTACAATTTCGGTTTTTGACTTAAATAATTCGGTTAACCGAATAAAGATAACTTATATTCGGTTCGCTGTTTCGTTTTTACAATTTCAGTTTTTTGACTTAGACAGTTGGGTTAACCGAATAAAAGTAACTTATTCATTATTTACTAGTTGTGTACCCGCGCAATGTAAAAGCTTCATTAAGATTTATCCAATTTCAAAATATCAAAAAAAAATTAAGATGTCAAAAAACGCATTACTTTTGTACCAATGTTATGTATCCGAAATCAATTTTTATTCAAAATTACAAAACTATACATAAACTAATTTTACAAAAAGAATGCGTCTACTCAAAATATATTTTAGCTAAGACTTAGTAAGCAACAGTGATACAAACTCTCAAGGTAGTCTTCACTACGGATTAAAGTAAACCTACACACCAACCATGCATGAAAACAAAGCAATATCCACCTTCATAATCTCATTCTAAAATGCATCATTCCCCCTGCACAACAATCAACACAAGAAACATTGTATGCAACACTAAAACAAAGCTTATATTGCTAAACATTGCCAGGAGCCCTATTTGGAGTGTGTAGATGCACCATATAGAACCTTATCAGAAACACCCATGCAAGGTTGTCAATGCAAGCCAAGAATTAACCACCAAACAGTCCATTAAAGGCCCCTTTTGCTTTATCAAAAAAGTTGTCATACAAATTTGAAACTGTTTCCCAATAGACCTTTTAATGACATCCGCATCAGAATCTATTGTATAATTCAGCCACCTAGATTAAAGATTAAGATTCAAGAAGGTTGTATCTTAGGACACAATGTATTGATATAAGAAACCTAAGTTATCACATTATCCTATTCCTAGAACATGATATTTATGAAGTTTAAAGTACCAAGGCTAACGGGGTAAAATCAAAATCATATCATAAAATAAAGCTTCAATCGATTTGAATTCAACATAAACTTTAATGGTGAAAAGAGTATGCAGGAATTCAAACATGATAAATGATATGAATAAATGTAAAATCATATTGGTAAGAGCTCGCTGTGTCATTTATCTTACCAGATGAACATGGCAAAAGTTGAGAATCTTAACCAGTAAGAGCAACAATGAAAATTAGAGATGGCCAAAATCCGGTCCCGGGCCGGTCCTTAACCGGTCCCTACCGGTCCTAATCAAGACAAAAACCGGCGGTAACCAGTCCTGCCATAACCGGTCCCGGTCCTGGTTCCGATGAAATACCTTGTAACCGGTCAAGCTTACCGGTAATCGGTTAAGGAATCCGGTCCCGGTCCCGGTTCCGGTCCCATAATCGGTCCCATCCGGTCCCGGTCAAATTTTTTTTTTTTTT